TAAATAATGTACATAAACCTCATCTCAGAAATATAGACAGATACTGAAGGGCAAAACGTTGTCATAAACATGGCGACAAAGATGAGGAAAATAGTCCGAATAATGTAAATTGTGTATATAATACCTCATCTCAGAAATATAGACAGATACTCAAGGGCCGAAACGTTGTCAAAATATGGCGACAAAGATGAGGACAATAGTCCGAATAATGTAAAATTGTATATAATACCTCATCTCAGAAATATAGACAGATACTTAAGGGCCGAAACGTTGTCATAAATATGGCGACAAAGATGAGGAAAATAGTCCGAATAATGTAAATAATGTACATAAAACCTTATCTCAGAAATATAGACAGATACTATACTCGAAACGTTGTCATAAATATGGCGACAAAGATGAGGAAAATAGTCCATAAACATCATCTCAAAATATAAATATTGTCATAAATATGGCGACAAATGAGGACAAATAAAACCTTATCTCAGAAATATAGACAGATACTCATGTCATAAATATGGCGACAAAGATGAGGAAAATAGTCCGAATAATGTAAATATGTATATAAAACCTTATCTCAGAAATATAGACAGATGCTGAAGGGCCGAAAACGTTGTCATAAATATGGCGACAAAGATGAGGAAAATAGTCCGAATAATGTAAATTGTGTATATAATACCATCTCTCAGAAATATAGACAGATACTCAAGGGTCCGAAAACGTTGTCATAAATATGGCGACAAAGATGAGGACAATAGTCCGAATAATGTAAATACATGTACATAATACCTCATCTCAGAAATATAGACAGATACTCAAGGGCCGAAACGTTGTCATAAATATGGCGACAAAGATGAGGAAAAATAGTCCGAATAATGTAAATAATGTACATAAAACCTTATCTCAGAAATATAGACAGATACTCAAGGGCCGAAACGTTGTCATAAATATATAGACAAAGATGAGGAAAATAGTCCGAATAATGTAAATAATGTACATAAAACCTTATCTCAGAAATATAGACCAGATACTCAAAATAGACGAAACGTTGTCATAAATATGGCGACAAAGATGAGGAAAATAGTCCGAATAATGTAAATAATGTACATAAAACCTTATCTCAGAAATATAGACAGATACTGAAGGGCCGAAACGTTGTCATAAATATGGCGACAAAGATGAGGAAAATAGTCCGAATAATGTAAATAATGTACATAAAACCTTATCTCAGAAATATAGACAGATACTGAAGGGCCGAAACGTTTTCATAAACATGACAAAGATGAGGAAAATAGTCGAATAATGTAAATTGTGTATATAACCTCATCTCAGAAATATAGACAGATACTGAAGGGCCGAAACGTTGTCATAAATATGGCGACAAAGATGAGGACAATAGTCCGAATAATGTAAATAAAGTATATAATACCTCATCTCAGAAATATAGACAGATACTCAAGGGCCGAAACGTTGTCATAAATATGGCGACAAAGATGAGGAAAAATAGTCCGAATAATGTAAATAATGTACATAAAACCTTATCTCAGAAATATAGACAGATACTCAAGGGCCGAAACGTTGTCATAAATATGGCGACAAAGATGAGGAAAATAGTCCGAATAATGTAAATAATGTACATAAAACCTTATCTCAGAAATATAGACAGATACTCAAGGGCCGAAACGTTGTCATAAATATGGCGACAAAGATGAGGAAAATAGTCCGAATAATGTAAATACGTACATAAAACCTTATCTCAGAAATATAGACAGATACTAAGGGCCGAAACGTTGTCAAATATGGCGACAAAGAAAATGAGGAAAATAGTCCGGATAATGTAAATAATGTACATAAAACCTTATCTCAGAAATATAGACAGATACCAAGGGCCGAAACGTTGTCATAAATATGGCGACAAAGATGAGGAAAATAGTCCGAATAATGTAAATAATGTACATAAAACCTTATCTCAGAAATATAGACAGATACTCAAGGGCCGAAATAAAGTTGTCATAAATATGGCGACAAAGATGAGGAAAATAGTCCGAATAATGTAAATAATGTACATAAAACCTTATCTCAGAAATATAGACAGATACTCAAGGGCCGAAAAAATTGTCATAAATATGGCGACAAAGATGAGGAAAATAGTCCGAATAATGTAAATAATGTAAAAAACCTTATCATCTCAAATATAGACAGATACTCAAGGGCCGAAACGTTGTCATAAATATGGCGACAAAGATGAGGAAAATAGGTCCGAATAATGTAAATAATGTACATAAAACCTTATCTCAGAAATATAGACAGATACTCAAGGGCCGAAACGTTGTCATAAATATGGCGACAAAGATGAGGAAAATAGTCCGAATAATGTAAATAATGTACATAAAACCTTATCTCAGAAATATAGACAGATACTGAAGGGCCGAAACGTTGTCATAAACATGGCGACAAAGATGAGGAAAATAGTCCGAATAATGTAAATTGTGTATATAAT